CACCTGCACACGAGAGAAGACTACATGTACGGCCGCCTCCCCACCCCAGCTGCCTTCTGCCAGAAGGCTCCTCTGAGCACCGTCCCAGCTCTGCCTTCACTAGCAAAAGCTCGTCATCCCTTGTTTTCTTGTGTACGTCCCTCCAGTTTTTCGAAGAGAGGAAAAAAATTTCTCCTAGGTGAGCCCCGGAGGGTCAGAGCTCAGTGGAAGGCAACCCTGTGTGAGGCAACGAAAGAAAACCATTTGGTACCATCTAGCTGGGTTTAGCCCCCCATTAGCCACGGGCAGCTCCGCTGCCAACACAGCCCCTGGGAGCAAGGAGAGCAAGCGCCCAGGCGCTCGCTGGTCAGCTCAGATGTCAAATTTGTCAGCACCCAGCCATTCACCGTGGAGATGAAGACTCCCCACACCACCACCCAGCCCTCGCAGCACCCAGCCTCCCTGGCCCTAAAGCTCTGGCTCCCTCTGAGCTCCAGCACCCTGCTGGTGCTCGGTAATGCTACCAAGGGAGCTTCGCCCATTAAACAACTTCATCTCAACAGCACGAACTGCATCCAGCTCTATTAAAAAAATAAACAAACATTGAAAAACAGATGCGTTTTGCAGGGTAATCATATGAACTCACACATCAAAGTGTTAGCGGTTTTCATCAACACGCCTCTTCATACTGAAGAGTATAGTTAAAACTTAAGAGCAATGTCTTACACAAATCCCACAGCGTATATTTTATATGTATTCAGACGCTGTAAGATACTGAGCTTGCTGCAAACTCTTTGAAGCCACTGGGAACAGGGAATGCTTATTCCAAGGACTGGTCTCGAAACGAGCATGAGAGGAATAGCTCATAGTTTCAGGAATTACAATAACAAGCAACATGTTTGTTGGTTGTTTTTTCTTCTTTAAACAGCTGTCCATTATTAATCACTCTACCCACAACCCCCAGATGACTAAGACATGCATGCTACGAAAGATTTTTAAAAATCTGCTTCAAGGGCTACAAAGCACTCGGTTGCAGTCTCCACGGCAGAGGCTCTGAAGCCAGCCCGATGGACTAACGACTGCTGACACTCGGGCGCTGGCGTAACGCCCGGTACACCGAGGGGGGGAGGTCCACAAAACACCGCATTGCAAAGTTGAGGAGACCACGGGCGGGAGGTCACAGAGTCCGTAAAAATGATTATTTCTGTTCAAAGCCATCATCTGTTTAATATAAATGAGATATTTAATGAAGTTCCAAATTGTAGACTTATCTCTCCCAGTTTGATAAGCACTGGGGAGATTTACTGCATCGGAGGGTCAACACAATTACAATTGGAGGCACGTCAAGCTGCAGGAGAATAATAAACTTGCAGTGCAAGTGAATTAGACTCAATAAGGTTTAAATTGTGAAATGAGGATTTGTTTTATTAGTTTTTTTAAATTGCAGATTACAACTGACAGCTTTACTGAAAAGTAAATTAAACAATATTTGTAGCCTCTGTTATAAAGGAATCTAAGGCAAATTCAGAAAGAATAGAAATTTTAAATTCTTAAACACTGTAAGAAAAAAAACCACAGCAACATCAGATTGCTTGAGCGCTTAAACTTGCATGATAAACACATTAAATGATAAACGAACCTTTATTTCACTGCCTTTAAATAAGGTGTGAAAATATCAAAGTGCTTTGGGATTTATTCTCCCAGTTCTATATTGATGACTTTATGTAACAAGTGTCCAGCTTTTACTGAGCTACATTGCACAGTTGTTCTTTATGTGACAACCCATCATCTTTCAAACTCATTTGCAGGAAGGTCTCAAGAGATTTTCAGACAGATACTGACAAGAAGAAAGCTCTGAATCAGAGAAATACATAGAAATTCACTCCTGGTAAAGCAGTAAAGTACAAGGTAAATAAAAGAAATAGCAAGAACATTGTGTTTAGATGGTTGTATTTTATCATTTCAACGGGGAAAAATTTTTCCGTATCTAATTAGCATCTTAAAAGATGGGTTTAAACAAAGGCATCAACAGCCAATTACACAAATATTTTACAAAAGAGACAATGCTGTTTACAAAATAGCAAAAATTAGACTGGAATTACACAACTGGCTTTCATAAGCAAAAGGTCTTTTCCTTACATTGTTAACAGAAAGTTTGTGTAAGAAAAAATACATTGAATTTGGAAACTGTGCTGTGGGCAAGAAAAAGAGACCGACAGTCCAAAGTAAGACTGCAGTTCAAATAAAGATTTGTTCTTCCTGACGCATTTCTAATAAAGAGCTTGAATCACACATTCCAGTTCCTCCCCTTACCCAGAACCAGTGCTGTCCGGCAGAATTTAATTTGATTAACTGACAAAGAGTAGGTAATATAAACAAAGATGCACGCATTCCTGACTTTCATTAAAGGTCTGGCAAGGAAAGCAAGTGAGGCAGCAACTGGCCCCTATTTTGTACCAATAGCTGCCCCTCGCAGGAGCACTTCTTGGTGCAACAGTTCTGAGTCACAGATCTGCTGAGGTTGGACAGGACCACTGGAGATGATCTCTTCTGACCTCTTGCTCAACGCAAGGTCAGCAAGACAGCAGATTGCCCAGTGCCTTGTCTAGATGGGTTCTGAACACCTCCAAGGACAGAGACTCCACAACCTCTCTGGGCAACCTTTGCCAATGGTTGAACCACCCTCTCAGAAGAAATTTTTTTTCTTATGTTTAAAGAAATTTCTTGTATTTCAGTTTGTGCTCACTGCTTCTTCTCCTGGCACTGGGCAGCCCTGAGAAGAGTCTGGATCGGTCTTCTTTATTCCCCCCATCAGGTAGACATAGGTGAGATCCCCCTGAGCCTTCTCTTCTGCAGGCTGAAAAGAGAGACTTCCCCCTCTGGGTCCTAGCACCGATATATAATAAATGATCACATTCATAAAATTGCAATAAACCCTCACATGCTACGGATTGCCTGTAGCTCCTTTTCTCTCCATTCTCTTAAAAGTAAAAATAGAAACAAGAATTTTTTATTTTTAAGTAAAAAAGGTCTCTGCCCTGGCCCTTTGTCATTCAGATAAGAACCAGCTGTTTGCCAAAGCACTGTCTGTACTAACCAGCCCAGCTGCTGCTTATCTAGACGATAAAAGGACAACTCATGCAGTCCTTTTTACTTGAACTCCACCATCCATCCTCTCTGAAGTTATGGACATAAATATGAAAAAAGTTTATGCACAAGCACATTGCCAAAATATTCAAAGCATAAACAAGCTTTTTTTGTTGTTGTTTTTTTAAAGAAATAATAATCAGACTCCCCTTTCCCTTCAGAAAGTAAATTATCCAAATACTGGCATGCAAGCACTATGCATTTTAAAGAAGTCACTATACAAATGTGCTACATATTACACTGCATCCAGGGTACTGAAGCTCTTGCTGTCACACAGAATTATTCTTCAGGCTTTCCTCTTCCTTTCATATCTGTGCACTGTGGCTAAGACATCCAAAATGCTTCAGCTTCCTTTTTCAACAGAGATACTTTTACAATACTACTACCAATATTAAATACAGTTTTCTTTGTCACCACGAAAGTTGGGATCCTGCTTTAGGGATAGACGTTGCAAGGTCTGAAAATGTAGGTAAACAGCCAGTGAAAGGGACAGGTTTGGCTTCCATGCACAATCACGCACTGGTAAATGTAAAATTCGTGCTGTGTTTCTAAGAAATACTGCATTCTTGTTCTGACAATGTTAAAAGGCATGCAGAAGACAAAAAATGCTTTCAGAACTTTGGGAAGGAACCCACACAGCTTTGCAAAATGCAGTTAGATGGTAGGTTACGGGGTACGGGGAGGAACCTGGGCCAAGAGGGAGCTTGTAAATTGATACCAAGGATAGAAAACAGATAAAGAAGAAAAAAGTCAGTCAAAATACACGGGGACAGGTAGAAGGCAGAACAGAAGGCACAAGCTTCTACAAAAGAGAAAACCATGTACATACTTTCCCAACAGCTAACTTTTAAAAATATTTCCTGGGACGTTTACTATCATTATTTCTTGGGACGTTTACCTAAGTACACTGAAAATCATGCACCAAAAAGACCACCAGAGGCCTAAGAGGAGACTATTAACAGGTCCCATATTAGAAGCTCAGGCAAAATGTGCCACTGTTGAAAAAACCCACCAAGAAATTGAGAGAATGAAGGAAGAATTTAAGCAGCACCCTTCAGAGGCTACTCATACTGAAGGTAACATG